ATATATATATATATATATATATATATATATCGAGTGGGAAGAGACTGAAGGATGCAATTGGAAGAGGATGCTCATAACTTAAAGGGGGCAAAGCAAAAGGAAAAAAAAAAGAAACCACACACGTACACGCTCGCAAGATAACATTCATGATGACATGGACGGTGTGGGATAAAAACAACTGGATTAAAAAATGAGAATAAAGGAACAATAAAATGTTAGACGAATAAGTACATATTTATTTACACGCATTCCTGGTCTTTTCTCTCTCTTTCTTTCATTTGGTCCATCCGAGGCTAGAGGAGGCAGATTGAGGAACGCGTGAAACCGTTTCTTCTTTTTTTTTCCCCCCGTGTGGGGATGCAGCAAAGACGTCTATATCCCTGGTGTCGCAGCAGACTGCGCCTAGTTATAGCGATCCTTGTCGCGTTCTTGTTTTTTAGTCTTCCACTTGTCATTTGGAGATCGCAATGTGACGATGGAGCAGTCATCTCGTCACCGTTCACACGGAGTCAAGAGAGATTTCCCAGTGCCTTCAAGGATGATATTCATCGAGACTCCTTAACAATAGTGATGATGTCATATCCAATGACGAAGCGACTGCATCGTCTGCTGCAGATTTTAAGGTCCATTCTTTACGATTGGCCAAAGGATGAGGGAATTGTCCATGAAGTTCTGCTTGTGTGGAACGGTGCGGAGCAAACGATACCACACGAATTGCTCAAATTGAAATTTATGTATGACACGAGGCATCGCTCTGCGTATAGAGGCCGTGGACATGCTCCACATCTGCGCCTTATACCACAAAAGTTAAACTCCATGGCGAATCGCTGGCTTATCTACCCCATTCTCCGTACCGATGCTGTACTCAATATTGACGATGATGTCGATATGTCGTACGCTGCAGCACGATGCCTTTTTTCAATTTGGCTGCAGACACCCTACTCGCTTGTGGCAACAGATGTACGGGCTATTGTGGACTGCGTGGCAACAGCGGAACACTGCAAGTACGGTGGTCCTTTTGATTATATGGCCCGAGAGCGACTCCCAGGGATTGGCCTATCGTACAATATAGCCCTACCACGTGCTCTTCTTGTCTCGCGTATGTACTACATGACATTTGCAGAGTCTTTTCATCGTGTTGTACAGGTGCCATCGCAACCCACCTTGACAACCTTCACGTCCACTCAGCAAGATTCACTTGATCGCATCGTGCAGGAATTGCTTTGCGATGATATTGCCTTCAACTACGCCGCCGCAAATGCCTCTATCCACTTCTCACGGTCTGCTGGAACCCATTTCCGTAGTCAACGTCCTATTAAAGCCATCCCGCTACTTGTGAAGGCTTCTGTGACGTCATTTCCAGAGTCGAATGCTGCAGGTGCCCTCACATTAGGCCATGGGATGAAGTTGAAGCGGCGCGAGTGCGCCAAGCGTCTTTCAATCCTCTTCTCGTCGGATGGAGGACGCACCCCCTTCCGTCTTCAGCACCAAATTTGGCAGGCAACGTGTACGGTTAGCAAATGATGTCAAACATGGAGGAGTTTTTTTTTCGTCGTTTTTTTTTAGTTCCTTTTATTCTTTTTGGGGGCCTCAGGAGCGTTGCTGTGAGAGCTAAAACACATCGACACCAACAGCAACGGTTTGACTTCTTTTTGATAAGTGTATGTGTGTGGCTATATGGAGGAGCACCGGCTTGCAGGT